TACTTTGACGCAGAGTGAAACGAGAATAAACGTTCTATTGGTTGACTTCAAACTTGTGTGCACTTTGTCATCATTCATCATCGTCGAATATTATTAAGATATCCAGAAACAATGACGGATCACGCAAGTGAACCGTTGTTATAGAGAAATACGAGCGGCTGTTATATTAATAATTCAAGGTAGTGTTGTGATTAATAAATATAGAAATGCAATATTAACGAGATAATTGAATATTCACGAAGAGTATCGGCGCAAGACCCGTCGAATGTTGCATTGAGAATGTTTCCCTGAGAGATAATTCTGTACGATGAATCGAGCTTGTTTCTTGTTGTTTTTAACGGTGCAATTAACTGCTACTTCGTCCGCTAATGAAAATGACATTATCCGTGATTACTTCGCATTCAAAAAAGTGGAAAGAATCGTGGGTTTCTCTTGCGACAACATGGAAAGTGCGTAGCAGACAAACATTTTGTATAAATCTATTGTATCTTATTTTAATTCGACCGTGTATATTCTTCTTTCTATTTTATGGAAAGCAGATGATTTTAAACTCGCGAAAACGTTTAACAACATGTATACTACATACATTTCGATGTTGAATTCCGCGGTTGAATCGCGTTTGGATGTCAGGAAGGTTTTAAGAGCGGAGTATCATCGTTTGGGTATTTTCTTGGATTGTCGATGCGATCGTAGGCGATACACTAGAATTCTCGTAGATGTAAGTAACTTTTCTTCGAGAAATTTTCATGTTACATTGCATAAAATTTGCTTATTTTTCTGTAATTCTCCTTTACCCTCTTTTCTTTATATTATTAAAAAAAAAAACGACGTTTCTTGTAACATTCCTTAAAATCTAACACTCGTTGCACTTAGGCAACAAAGTATTCTATGTACGATGAAATGCACAAATGGTTGATCTTTGGCTCAAATCTGAGTCACATAATGGAAATACTAAACGACGACGCGTTTACTATCTCCACTGACGTTATACTCGCTGTTCCATCAGCGAGTAATTATCTATTATACGATGTGTATAATCCGTGTAAAGATCGAGGGGGATCGATGAATGTTACGTACTTTGGAACGTGGAACAGTGAATCAGGATTAGACGTTACCCTGAGACAACCGAAAATTCAAAGGAGATCGAATCTTCATGGAATTAAACTTAAAGTTGGATTTATAGTAAGTTACTTGGTTCCTATAATTACCATCAACAATCAATGAAGCTTAAAATTTCGAATAATGTATATTCCTACAGACAGTGTATAATAATAAATTTATTAATAAAAACAAGAAAAACATAGAACATATATTTACAGGTTAATTTGAAACCAGAAAATATGTCACTTCACGATATGATGCTACAATACAATATGAAAACGAAGTTTGGCCGATCGAAATTTTTATACATGCTCCTCCTGCATCTTGCCGATCTTTTCAATTTCACGTAAAAATGAAGCTTAATTATTTATTAATCATTTGTATACTTTCTCATACAAAAGTTATCATATTTTTTATACTTTTTCACATAAAAGTTACGATTAGAAAATTTTCACTCAACAAGTGAGATGAATTAACCTGATTAGTTGTTGTTTATTAGTTCGTCTCTGCTTTGTAGTACGGAGATTGTTCAAATAAACCCGCAAAGGAGATTGGATAATTCTGGACCTGTTTTCGATGCCTTTAAAAAGAATCTTATCGATTTCTCGGCAAGTCCAGTTGCTATGAAGGCTGATAGATTGGACAACGGAGATATAGTTGGGCCAGTCTGGCCAATACGGTACAATACCACTGCCTTTCCACTTTCTCACGCCTTTCACTTGTACATCTTACGTATTCTATAACACCAACATTTTCGAAAAATAAACACTTGTTCGTAATACAAAAGTTTCCTTTTCATTGCGTGAATTTGAAATATATTCTTTTGCAAAGTTCGACTTTTATAGATCGTGTTTTATGTTTCGTACGATCTCGTCGATGAAAATGAAACCGGGCCAATTTTTGAAACCATTGTCAGTGAAGGTGTGGTACGTGATACTAGCGATGATAGGAATCGTGACGACTGTCCTAATTATTTTTCTACGAATAGAAGGCATTCGGAATCCTGCGGAGATTTATGGCCTCTCTGTTTTGCTCACAATAGGAGCTTTGTCGCAGCAAGGTACAAGATTGTTTCTAATCGACTTTTACAAGAGAAAAGAAGTTTCGAGAAACGATAGAAGAAGGTTGTTGAATATTGTAAACTGTTTATAAATTCTTTCGATTAGGTTCTGCGTTCGTTCCATCTCGTTGCGCGAGTCGAATGGCGTTTCTGCAAATTCTATTCTTCAGTTTGTTAATTCTGAATTACTACTCGGCGAGCGTGGTGTCGAATCGTTTGAAAAATAAGGGCGAGAAGATGAACGATTCTTTGATTAATTTATCGAAAAGCAATATGAAACTCGCGATGGAATCGACGCCGTACATTCGATCTTTTCTTCAGGTAATGTGTTATAGAAAATTTAAAAAAACCTTATCTTTTGAATATTCTTTTAAAGACTTTTCCAAATTTTAAGAAAACGAACTTTAAAAACTCTGTCTTTCGAGTGTCTTTGAAAAATTCTCTAAGTTTTAAGAAAAACATTGCAAATATCCACGTTTCTCGAAACGAACAAATTTTAAAAATTTGATCTTTCGAATATCTTTCTAAAAACTTTTCCGTGTTTCAAAAAATGTATTGGAAAGACGTTGCAAATATCCATGTTTCTCGCAACGAAGAAATGAAAGAGAACTTTGTCTTTTGAGTATCTTTTCAAAAATGTTGTCAAATTTTGAGAAAAATATTTGGAAAAAGTTCGAGGAAACGAATATGACCGTAATTAAATTGGAAGAGTTACGTATAAATATTTGCACGACAGGTGCCAGACAGGGAAGTGAGATACTTCTACGACCATCGTTGGACGAAAATACCAGCGTCGCAGAGATACTTGCCCTTAAACGAGGGACTTAATCGCGTGGCGGAGGGCCGTTTGGCTTATCACACGATGATCGATTCCGCTTATCCGTACATCGAGCAGACGTTCAATTACCGAAGTATCTGCGAGCTCACGGAGGTTCACTTGTTCCGCACTGTTCTGGCATTTTACGCCCGACACCGGAGCCCTTTCACTAAATTGATGAAAGTAGGGTACGACAAGATTGACCTATTGCAAAATCTATATCTATGTGCACATATATGGATGTATGTATTTCGAAAAGGGCGGAGAATATTAAGTGTACAATAGAAATAGTATTAAAATGTCAGGAGATATCATTTTAGTGTCATTTATGCTTCAGATTTTCGAGATATAATTCTCCCATAAATTTACAAAGTATTGAATTACTTTTCTTGAAATTACTTAAAAAAATAATTCCTATTACTTCCTTAGTTACCCATCTATAAATTTACAATCACTTTATGTACTTTAGAAGGTAATTTAAATGTGAAAAGATTTTTCTAACGGTATCACTTTTTCAGTTTGACTAAAATTCGTAACGTTGGCATCCAAGAACGCGAACTGAAACGATGGGCTGCTAGAAAGCCCTTCTGTCCACACACTCTACTTATCGCCGAGCCTCTGTCGATTCACGAATCTCTACCGATTTTCGTGTTCTTGGGTATCTCTGTTGGCCTGTCGATCCTTATTTGCATCATTGAGAATATCATCTATCGCATTTCTCCGACACGGTAAATCCGAAATTTCACTTAACTCTAGCGCGTTCTTTCGTTCGACTATATTAAGATTTCTGGGTCAAAAAGGACCCAAAGACCTTGTGTGCAACAATTTTCGTTACCAGAACTTAGACGATAAATTTCTGATATAATCTTAAAAAAATATAAACTTGATAATAGAAATAGTTATTTAAAAAATGAGAAGGCGATGGGTCGAAAAAGACCCGAAGACCGCACTAGAGTTAAAGAAACAAAATTATTATATTAAATGTACAAATAATTGTATCAACTATCCTTCCAGATCCTCAAGTTCAGTGATAGAAAAACGGCGTCTCATCAGAAGAACCCTACACCTTCCATCTTTGAAAGACATAAATCTACAAGCCCTAAAAAGATTCAAAGTTTTCAGAGAATAGTCGAACTTAAAAATCTTCAAAATTCCCACTCGTCGAACGTATATAATTACTACAAGCTTGTTTCTACTCTCGGAACAAACGAGTCCTTCCACTGATTAGACACAACAACGCACGCGGTGTACTTGATCGCGCTTAATTATCATTAATATTTTGCACGCGCACGTCGAGTAAAGTTCAACAAGTGTAACGAGCGAGAATTTGTCCACGTTGCAAATGATAATAAATGAAAAATAAACATCGTTCCAGCGGTATCTGTACATCATCGGTCTCGAATTAATTACCGATATTGATCACACGTCATTTCAACGAAACAAAGTCGCGTCGTCGCTCGACAATTCACGATTACCTTCCGCGCGCGTAATTAATTTTTAAACCTACCACTTCCGTTCCCCGTTCGCGGCGGACCTAACCTGTTCGTAATCTAGATTATCGTTGGAAAATTCATATTTTAGACAGCCCACCGACGTGAACATTAACGAAATACTCTCGCGACGGGGGTTTATGACAGAGATAAATAGTAATAAACGCGAATGGGTAACAGGATCGATCAAAGCGAGATTTAGCTTCGTTTTCCATTGGACATGTGACGGGTAGAAAAGGGACATACCGAATGAATGATTAATCGGGAGGCTTTGTAGATCCTTTTCGTGACTCGAGCAATTTGCCAAATTGCTGCGAATTCATTTGATATGCTTGTCGTTTATATCAGAATATGAAATGGTTCTCCTTCGTGCATTTCATGCATGACGAATAGAATAAATGGTATTAAAATAATGTAGAAAGGCGCGTGAATGGTGGAACGGGGTTCGATTTTGCCGGGTATTGGAATTGTGCCAAATGCTTGTGACTGAGAAAAGAGATTAGCACGATGTATAAGGCCCTTTTCATTCTGTTGCAATTTGTTTTCATTTCGAGCGGACAGGATCATGTTTTTATTCGCGATTACTTTTTGCATAAAAAGGTACGAAATGTCGTGGGATTCTCTTGCGGTGACGCTATAGGTGAGCAATACTTTTAATTACTATTTGAGGATTGTTGCTTAATCGTACTTTTTGCATTAGTGAGAGAAATTTTAGAAATAAATTGCAAGAAATTTATTTGGAATAAATATGCATTTATTATTACGAAATATTCCTGAAACAGTGTAAAATAAGTATGAAAATTCTTAACAGATTGAAAGATAATTTAAAGATTGATGCTTGAGGATTTTCGTTTGGCTTGATAATTGAAATTTTGCAAATAAGAGATAATACATTGCAAAAAAAATTTATTTGCGATAAATATGTATTGATTTTTAAGAAATATTCCCAAAACAGTGAATATTCTTTGGAGATATTAACACCTTAAAGAAATGAAAAATATTTACACAAAACTTAAGTGACGATATGTATGATTTATAGGTGATTTTAATCTTTTGAAAATATTAAGTACCACGAATATCTATACAATAATAAGGGAACCCAGTGTGAAAATCGACTTTCGAAGATTCATGAGAAGTGAAGCTTGGACAGTTGGTGTCGTAATTGATTTGCGTTGCCGCAATGAAACTGCTGTTCGAATTTTCGCTGAAGTAAGAGAAACCTAATCACCGATAACAGAAGTTTAACGCTGTAATTATTTTATTTTATAATTAATAAAAAATGTTCTAAATTTCGTAAAACTTAGAGCTCGAAATATCGGATGTACGATTATTCCTACAACTGGCTAGTGTTGGATTCTAATTACAATCATAGCATTTCGCTGTTGAACGACAGTGCTTACAACATAGTGACCGACGTGGTTGTTGCTATATCGAAGAAAAACGGCTACGATTTGTACGATGTTTACAATCATTGCAAATATCGCGGTGGTTCGTTAAACGTTACACAACTTGGTATTTGGCGGCGTGATACAGGACTTAACGTAACCCTAACGCAGCCTCTAATTAACAGAAGAGCTAACATGCATGGGATGAGATTAAAGATATCCGGTGTGGTGAGTTTGTCTATCGATTTCTCTAGTTTCCTTTGGATGAAGTGTAGTAATAGAGTAATAAAAATATAAATATGAAATTTGACGGTGTATAGAGAATTTTTATTTATTTTCACGGGACGAAGCCTTTGGTACAAAAAGATATAACGTAGGTGACAAAAAATAAAGAAGAAAAAGAAAACAGTAAAATAATAAAAATATAAATGCAAAATTCATGAAGTACAGAAGATTTTAATTATTTAATTATTTATTCTTACGGGGTAAAGCTTTTGATGCGAAAAAATATAACGTAGGGAAGTTCCCCTAATGGGACAAAAAAGAAAGAAGAGAAAAATGGACATACAGGTTTAAGAAATCGCGAAGAATAAATACTATTGTGAGAAAGTACTCTGACTCGGAGTAGGGTGGGCGCAAAATTAATTGAACTTAATTAATTGAATATTTCCGTAATAATATATTTTATTGAAAGTCTATCTCCACCTTATTTGGGCGTCGCACGCAAAAGTATACGTTAAGGGTCTCGGGAAGAATGAGAACGCGTCGTCCTGCCAATCCCTGTCCTCCCCCACGCGAACACGCCCAGGGAAAGACCCAAAGGGGCGGAGTCACCCCCACCGAACGCGCTGGGCCTGGCTTCACCGTCTTCGGGACGGATTTTCTCACATTGTATAAAGCAGAGCCGCTTAACTTCTTGCTCACGAGCAAATTTCCCCTCCCGAGGTTCCCCCACTGTGCGGTACGAACACGCAGAATGTGTAACATAAACTCGAGCGGGACCATCTCAGTCGCATAGTGGGGGAACCTCGGGAGGGGAAATTTGCTCGTGAGCAAGAAGTTAAGCGGCTCTGATATAAAGTATACGTCCTAAAGAGTGTCTTAAGAATGCTAAGGAGTGTCTAAATATTTAGATCTATTAATCCACTAATTTCAAGTTTGTTTTACTCAGGTACAATACAGGCCGAAAGATATGCGTCTCGAAGATTACATGCAGGACATAAACACGAGATCCTTAGACAGCATGCACAAATTTGTGCACGCTATGATTTTGCATACGGGAGATCTGTTTAATTTCAGGTACCATCATAACGATATACTACTCCACAAAATTAAAGGATCCCTAAACTTCGACTGAAAAATTGTCGATCTTTGAACCGCTGTAACTTGGTAAAACAACATCGTAAAATAGTCAACTTAGGCTCATTTTAAAGGGCGAAGGCTCTACTTTCACATTTATCAACTGAATTTTTCCAAAGATCCTTTGATATTGTAAAACGGAGTGAAAAACTGAAGTTGCTTTTTTTTTGTAATTTTACAAATTCAAACCACTCTAAGGAGTTTAAAAATTTTTTTCGAGATTCATTCGAAAGTGAGTTTGTAAAGGGAAATCTCCCCTTTACAACGACCTATAAAAACTTGACGCACGATTTTTTGTCACCGTTTCATCGCGCTTTGAATGAAAAGTGTGTCGTCGTCTGACATCATCGTGGTGAAAATTCACTTCGTTCCTATTTAAAAGTCCCGAACGTTTCAATTGCTATTGCTTCCTTTAAATTTTCTAAGTGAGCACAGTGCACGTCTGAATTAATGGTTTTTTCATTTCTCGAAAGTAACCCGAAATACAAAACGAAATACAAAACTTTATTTTTCTCTTGAAACGAAAGGAATTTATTTTCTCTTTCAGTGTTCACGCCTCTGAAATCATCTACTGGGACAGACACAGCGTGCACGGTTTGATTTTTGAATTCTTACGATCGAATTTCATCGATTTCGCCAGTAATCCAAGAATTATGGTTTCCGAGAGATTAGATTATGCCAGCCTCATTGGCGCAGCGTGGCCAATTAGGTGAGGAATTTCTAATATCTCATTTGCATACAATCAATAAATTATTCAAACTTTTATTAACAAAAATTAGATAAATTCCTATTAAATTTAATTTCCATTACATCCTAATTCTATCAAATTTTTATCGATAGTAAATTCTCTTTCGATCAGACCGTGTTTCATGCTGCTATCCACCTCGACCAATAAAATTAAATTAGAAATCTTCCTGAAACCATTCACGAGGCAAACATGGTACGTGTTCGCAACTTTCGGATTGTTCTCCATAGTCATTATGAAAATAATAATGAATCGCGAGAATATTGGTAAGAACGAAAAATATTCCGGAGCAGTGGTGTTGTCCATAGGAATTATATCACAGCAAGGTGTGCAATAAAACATTTATCAAGGAAACAATATTCTTTCAAAAATAGCTATTATTTAATTTCTATGAAATTATCATAGGTGCAAATTTTCTACCAAAACGCATACCAAGTCGTATAGCACTCTTTCAAATAACTATACACAGTTGGATAATGTACAATTACTACTCCGCTAGTATCGTCTCGGCTAGATTGAGCGAACCCCTTGATATGATGGAAGATTCTGTAACTGTTCTTGCTGATAGTAATCTAAAAATCGCTGCAGAAGCTGTACCCTACTTAAACTACTTCTTATACGTGAATATTATTTATCTATATCATCTATTCATACATTTTAATCCTTCCTAGGCAATCTGGGTCATTAATGACCCAAGAGAAATTTCACTCTCACTCTTTAATGTTTTTTCGAAAACGTTTCAAACTTTTCATTTAACGAACAATTGTACAATGTAGTAGAGACTTTGATAAGTATTTCAGAATTTTTTCAGATTTTCTGAAAGCTTAGAATAGCAAAAAAATTAGGCTTGGACTTAAATGACCCAATTTGCATATAGAGTGTTCAGATTTTTTGAAAGCTTAGAATAGTAAAAAAATTAGGTTTAGACATGAATGACCCAATTTGCCTACAGAGTGTGAAAAAATATGTTTTCGGCTGAAAGTTGGTTGAAATAAAAATTGAAGATCTTTAGTGTTATCGATGTGAACAATATTTTTTATTAGAAATTGAATTGGGAGTCGGATTATTTCCGCAAAAAACGCTGGGATCCTTTACCAGAGTCGAAAAGATATCTGCCGATAGAGGAGGGTATCAGGCAAGTTAGTCAAGGTATTCTAGCGTATCACACGGACCCTAATACAGCCTATCCTTATGTTGAAAGAATGTTCGACTCTAATAAAATTTGCGAGTTGACGGAAATTCATCTGTTCAAACAATCTGTGATGGGGATGTACGCCAGTCACAATGGACAGTTCATTGAAATAGCTAAAATAGGGTGAGAATTCTTATGTTTACTCTTCTACTTAAATGGTGAGAAATTTTATTTTTATTCTTCTACTTAATGATTATCTCTGATAATGAATAACTGATGCCCCAAGAGAAATTTCACTCTTGTATTTTTACTTTTACCGAAAAAGCTTTTAAACATTTCACTTAACGAACAATTGCACAATATAACAGAGACTTTGATAAGTACCCTAGAATTTTTTCAAATATTTTAAAAGCCCAGAACAGTAAAAAAATTAGACTTGAATATAATCAATGCTTATCTCTGATAACAATAATCTCTACTCGATATTTTAAATTTACTCAATCGTACTTCTTTAAGACTGACAAAGATGTTCAATACCGGTCTTCGAGACCGACAAATCAAACACTGGTCCTCGAGGAAACCACAGTGTCAACCTGATACTTTGTCCACGAGGAGTATCACAATTTACGAAACTGCACCTGCCCTAATTTTACTAGCCTTTGGAATGGTCGCGGCTGGAACGATGTGCATCGTGGAAAATATCAGTTACAGACGTTCAATCAGGTGAATTATGTGGGATCAATTCGTCAGGAAAAGAAAGTATACACTGTCGCATGGCAAACTCGAGCCTCGGCGCGCTACCTTCAACTGCCTTTTTGCCCCGGGGCCCGCGTGCCCCTTCTACCCTTCGCTTTTCGCTCATGCTCACACACTCACGCACGTGCGCACTCGCTCGCGCCGCGCCAGTCGCGCCACACACGCCCTCTCGCGTGTCGGACTCGATCGCCGGCGGATCAGTCACCACAATTATTTCTATCTGTTATATCACTAAAAATATTTTCTCCAATTTCAAACACAGAGATAAAATTTCCTTTCACAGAGGAAGCAGAGGATGTCGCAAAAAGAGGATTGGAACAAAAGGAAGCTTCAGCAGTGGAAATAGCAGAGACAATTTATTAGACATGAATGCATAATCTTTGCTGAATTAAAAAATTAGTGAACAATTTTAATCACTTATATCGAGCCTAGATTAAATATTCCTGTACAAGATTATGATAAAATAAAATCAAAAATTAGCTGTACAATACACGTGTTGCTTCTATCGAAGTAAAAAGAAAAATATTCCACAGAGATGCATATAGGATAAATTGATCGACTAATTGACTCATGTAATCGTTATGAAACAATATCGAACTACCGTGCTCTAAAAAAAAATTCAGTTACTCTCTTTTCTAAAGAGCCATCACGTCAAAGCTGACATATTTCCTCATAAAAAATTGAGGAACAAATGACTGCCTGCTGGAAAGTATAACACGAACGTTCTTCATGCAATTGTTCCACTTGCAACCGTGAATAAAGAGCAACCATAGTAAACTGTGATGCTTTTTCGGTGTTTCTTGTGTCTGCAATTAATCCTCGCCTCTCACGCGCATAATCGGGGTATAATTTACGATTATTTTCTTTTCAAAAATGTCAGTAGAGTGGTTGGATTTTCTTGTGGAGAAATCGAAAGTGAGTGGCCTACAAATAAATTCGTTCATTTTTAAAAATAAGATAATATTTTTAACTCGTGAAAAATTCTTTTCAAGTATTTCATGCGAAATACTATCAATTCCTTTCGAATCACAAAAATTTGATCTGAAAACGTTAATTTTCTATTTGATTGTATTGTAAGGCTTAATGCTAATTTAAAAAAATTCTGTGCCAAAAAATAGAAATTGTGCGATAATTATTTTATCATATTCAAAGTTACGCAATTTTTGACAAGTCGATAGAGAAGCAGTCTTGTGATTCAGCTAAATGTTTCGAAACAGATGATTACCAAATTATCAAACGTTTTAACGGTGCCATGATTCCGGTGTCCATAAAACAACTCAGTCCAAACATCAACATATCACGATTTTTAAACACCAGTTGCTGGAATCTAGGTGTGTTCCTGGATTTACAGTGTTCGTTTGCAGACGAGGTTGTGACGAAACTCTTTAACGAGGTAAAATAGCACTGTTCTAAGTATCATTTTTTTAATTTGAAAATTTACATTCGAAAATCACAATTAGGCCTCGACTTATTACATGTTCGATCATTTGCACCAATGGTTGATACTTGGGGAAGATATGAATCGCACTGTTCAATTATTAAACGACAGCACGTTTAGCATAATCACGGACGTAGCGATTACTGTGGCGAAAGACGACAACTACGCTCTTTACGATGTGTATAATCATTGTAAACATTGCGGTAGTTTGTTGAATATCACGAAACTTGGTACCTGGACGAGAAACGATGGACTGAAGATCAGTCTGTCTACAGAAAAGTTTTCTAGACGATGGAATTATCATAAAGCGAAGGTGAAAGTCGCAGGCTACGTAAGTAGCAATTGGATTTGACGGTGGTTGATTATTGAAATTATTAAAATAGACGGAAATGTTGGAAAGAGGGAAATGAAAGAGATATCAGAGCAATTCAATTTTTTTTTATACAGGTAGCATTTAGACCGAAAGATCAAAATCTGGAAGATTATCTCAAAGACTACAGTACCATGCATACAGACAACTTTAGCAAGTATTTGTACTCTATAGTTATTCATCTTCAAGATGTATTTAATTTAAGGTAATGTTTGTTCGGTATTTTTAAGATGAATTAATAGTAAGACTGCTTGTATCACTTAATATCCACACGGAATGTGATTGATTTGTAGTTTCGAAATATTAGAAATAAATTACTGGGACAAAAATGATACGAATGGGCCAGTGGTAACTGGTTTAAGAGAACGTAAATTTGATTTAGCTTACTATCCTTTGGTTCTGACACAGGACAGACTCACTTATGCGGACGTGATGATACAAGTAATGCCTCTAAGGTAATCGAAAATTTGATTAATTCTACTATATTTTACAGTATTTTTCAATATTACAACCGGTATATCACTCAGTTTAATCCTGGGTCGTGTGGTTCAGCTTTGAGGCGGTCCTAGATAGACTCCACGACCCTGGAGGCGTGGCTTCCGAGGTGCTTGGACACTAGAACAGTCCTCACAAGGACCCACGATTTTAAATACGTGGCCTCTGAGGTCTTTGGACTCCGAAGCAGTCCTCGAAGAAATCTACGACCCTAAGGGCGTGGCCTGTGAGGCCTTTGGACCAGCTTCGGAGGAATTCACGACCTTAGGGGCGTGGCTTGTGAAATGCTTGGACACTAGAGCAGTCCTCAGAAGGATCCACGATTTTAAATACGTGGCCTCTGAGGTCTTTGGACTCCGAAGCAGTCCTCGAAGAAATCTACGACCCTAAGGGCGTGGCCTATGAGGCCTTTGGACCAGCTTCGGAGGAATTCACGACCTTAGGGGCGTGGCTTGTGAAATGCTTGGACACTAGAGCAGTCCTTAGAAGGATCCACTATTCTAAAGTCGTGGCCTTCGAGGTCTCTGGACCCCGAAGCAGTCCTCGAAGAAATCTACGACCCTAAGGGCGTGGCCTTTGGACCAGCTTCGGAGGAATTCACGACCTTAAGGGCGTGGCTTGTGAAATGCTTGGACACTGGAGCAGTCCTTAGAAGGATCCACGATTTTAAATACGTGGCCTTCGAGGTCTCTGGACCCCGAAGCAGTCCTCGAAGAAATCTACGACCCTAAGGGCGTGGCCTAGGAGGCCTTTAGACCAGTCCTCGGCGGAATCCACGAACCCAGGGGCGTAACCCACGATTCTAAAGGCGTGGCCTCTGGACCCCGGAGCAGTCCTCTACGACTCTGGGTGCTTAACCTCACGACTGTTCCTGAGAATGATTGTTTTTATTTTTTATAGAACCTGCTTTATGTTTCGCACCGTACCTTCACAAAAAATGGACGTGAACGTTATCTTCAGACCATTCGCGAGGACTGTTTGGTACATGATTTCATTACTGATAGTCATCATAATTCTCGCTTTGTGGATCATTTTTAAAGCAGGAAAAGATAATATCGATACTGATAGTGTTCTCGTAACTGTTGCTGCGGTATGTCAACAAGGTATACTATTAAAATATCTACTCTAAACTACAAAAATACTAATATTTGTTTCTTATACGTACTAAAAGTATCACATTTTTATAGCTAACTTGAAAAATTTAAGGAATTAATAATCAGTACTCACATTTCGATATTAACAGGATTTCCATTCGATAGCAATCAGATTTCAAGCCGACTTGCTTTTTTGCAGACCATGATCTTTGGTCTACTTTTATACAACTGTTACGCAGGAGCGATAGTATCAGCCCGGCTGAATGCTCCTTTGAATAAAATGAACGATTCACTATACTCGTTAGTGAAAAGTAAAATGAAACTTGGAGCATCCAAGGAAATATATTTGAATCTTATAATGAATGTGGGTGTTTTAATTATTTTATACATGACTGAAGACAACATTTTGTTTAATATTTCGTTCTGCGATAATAATTAAACAATAATTCTTTACAACTGAAAAATATTTTCTCAGTCTACTCTAGATGAGATCCAATATTTCAAGAGATACTGGCAGTCTATACCGGAAGAGAAAAAGTACTATTCGATCAAGGACGGTGTGAAAGCAATAATGAAACCTGGATTCGCCTATCATACGGAACCTCTCAAAGCTTATCCACTTATAGAACGAACTTTCGACAATCAAATGATCTGTCAGCTTACCGAAGTGCATTTGCTTCGTCCTTCTATTTTAGGTGTGTGGTCAACTCGACATGGCCAGTTTCAAGAGGTAGCAAAAATAGGGTAAGAACTTCCCAAAAAAGCATCCATAAAAATTCAAATAATATATCAAGTGTAGAAATGAATTATTTTCGACTCTATTCGCATAATTCATTCAAAACCACCAAGTTTCTATCGCGATGGTTTTCTTAAGTTTCCAAAAAAATGGCGGATGGTCATCAACAGTAATGGAAATTACTTCGATTCTTGATCTGTTTTCGTTCTTTTTAAACGAAACTTCTATTGTACCCAAAAATCAGGAAGAATTAATTTCTACGTCTAATATGTTTTTTCTTTTTTTAGCTGAATTAGTTACATTTTATTTGCAGTCTTATCAGGATACTCACTTCAGGAATTCGAAAGAGAGAATTAATACGTTGGAAACCTAGAACACCATTCTGCGATGAAGATCAACAGTATGTTTCGAGTGTAACAATTATCGAAGCGTTGCCAATTATACTTGTTCTACTTTTCGGCATCGTCTTATCAGTTATTATTTGCTTTATGGAACAAATGATTTTCCGTGTATTATGAGCGAAACAGGGAAAAATGAAGAAACTTAAACGTTGATCGGATGTGCGTTAAACATTTAAGAAACAGTAATTTGTTATGATAAACGAAGTTTCTATTAATTTTGAAGCTTAACGTTCGGTTAAATGTATTATTGTGTGTGTATGTTGCAACGAGATTGTTACGATATTATGTTTTGTTTACGAGAAAGTTTAACGACTCGTATTTGAAATTTTTGGGAAGGTTAGAGGAATGTATGTGAAATGGTTAAATAATTAAAAATTTTGAAACATATATTGTAGTTGTTAATGTCTTTTATAAGCACATTTTAATAAGAATATTTAAATAATTGAAACTGGAGGAGAAACCAAAGCCTTCAGTATTGCATTTCATACGCTTATTTTTGCAATATTTAATTTTGTTACTCAAAACGATGGAAATATTGTTTAAGGAGTGAATAAGAGGGAAAGAATTATAATATAGAAGGCGAGAATAGTAATTTTAGTTTTAGTTTGGCGACTTTTAATCGATGACCAGTCAGGTCGATCTAATTTTTAATATTTGTAAACTTTAAATGCAGTGTAAATAGAGAAAATGTATAATATAAATTACTTCGTGGTATTATAACAAACGGAAGCTAAATAAACTTTTAATTTGTGCAGAAAATTGATTAACATAATAAATGTTACCTTCACTTTGGTTATGTTCAGTCGAAGACCACAGGTCAACCTTCTTTTTAATCGTTGCAAACATTAAATTTAGTCTGAACAGAGAAAATTTACGATATAATCGTCAAATAAACTTCTAAACTGTACAAAACATTATTTAACGTAATAAATTTTACCTTCACGATGGTTCACTAACGATATTCAACGGATGACCATGGGTCAGCCATATTGTTAATCTTTACGAAATTAATTTAACCACCAGTAGGTAATGAGAACATTAAAACGTATTTTTCCGTTGAAGAATATTGTAAAAACGTATAAATTGTTATATGCAATGTTAAAACAAATTGTCGGAAGTATAAATTTATAACAAAATTGTGAAAATTGATAAATTATACCGTGTTACCATAACGGAAATCTCCCGCGAAAATTTCTCGCCTGACCTTACCGACGACTTTGCTAACGACTTTGCTAATGACTTTGAAGAGGGGGTACCGCAGGTATATAAGAGCCCGCCGAGGTTCCGCAAATCATTCACCCTTTATACTGGGCCTTAGACACTTCGCGGTAAATTAGTCTTAAAAGTTCTGAGATGTGAATAGGGTGGTCGAGGGCTACTAGCTAGCCTATGTCCACCCTATACACACTCTACCTTCCTCTGAAACTTATACACTATAGAATCAAATAGAATTTCAGTTAGGTGTTACCTATTAGACAAACTTTTTTTTAAAATCAAATTTTAACAATTACCGGTACTCGCTAGGCACTTAATATCAGACTTTAAATGCTCGACTTCGAACTTCGGTTTAGAAATAAAATAAAATTATTTTCCCGATCGGACTTTGAATATTCCACTTCGAATAAAATATTTTGCAATTGTTTCGAAGGTTTAGGGAACTCCACGTTCGAATTTTAGTCGTTGTTCTTCAGACTTGTCGAATAGGGCGTTGAAGTGAATTTAAGAGGTTTACTAATGAAAATTTCGACGTTTCAGATATCTATTAATTAAATACTTTTATAAATATGTACTTTTCTTACAGCTATTGAAATTAATTTGAAATTTTTCTTTCAGTTTTTCGAATTTCTTTTATTTTTCTGATATTTTCTCTGATATTGAATTTATTTGACGACTTGTTATTTTCTAAACTAATAATTCACAGCTATCCAAGGAATTTGCATGACTTGCATGTTAAGTAGTTAGTTTGTTATTGTATTTTACGTTGTGCGAGCTGATTTGCAACGAGTGCACTATACTCGTGCACTATGCCCACCCTTAAATAAACCGTCTCAATTAGTTTACCGTAATAAATCTATTTTCCGAATTTTTGAAATTTTTCTATATATTAGAGTCAGTGGATCGCGTATTGAAATAATAGCTTCATCCCCAGTTCGCTTATTATTGAATATTTTTACGCGTTTAACTGATACTTCTCCCCAAACATCGTCGCGTATTTTCTTGAAATTTACTTGTATTATAGAATCGAGGAAGATATAAATTCACGGTTTTTTTTTACGCGTATTCTATTCAAATTTATCTTCATTACAAAAATCGAGAATAATATAAAATCGCGGTTTCCCCTGCTAAATAAAATTGAAATAGATCGCGTTTCGTATACAATTTCGCGTCGTCCATTTCACAGCGATTCACAATTTGTGAGTCTCGTGAGAAAATGAAAGCCGAGGGACTGGAATGATTAGCGGAAGGACGACGATCTGAGAGGAAGGAAGGAGGAAATGCAGCCAAATCTATGTTGCAGAGCCCAGCTGCCTAATCTGCGAACAGTGAGTTACAAAAATGGGGTCTTTTTTTGGCGATATGGTTAAGTAGTTAGTTGTATATTGTCACAACCGACCCTTAATTAAATCGTGAAATTAGTTTATCGAAATTAATCTATTTTTCGAATTTATATCGAGAATTTTTCAATTTTTCTAAATATTCGAGTCAGTGCATCGCGTATTACAATAACTTCATCCCTAGTTCGCTTATTATTGAATATTTTTCCGCGTTTCTCTGATATTTTTCCGCGTTTCTCTGGTATTTCCCCCGAATTATCGTCAAGAAAGATACAAACTCGCGTTTTCTATTCAAATTTACTTATTTTACGGAATCGAGAAAGAGACAAATTCGAGTTTATTTCATTTCAATTTTTACGCGTGTTCTATTTAAATTCTAACTTAATTAAATATTCGCGATGTCCCCTGTTAAACTTCGAATAAATCGCGATTCGTATACAATTTCGCGTCGCCCATTTCACAGTGACTCACAATTTGTGAGTCTGTGAATCTTGGAAAATCAACGCCGAGGGACTGGAATAACTGCAAGGATGACGATCTGAGAGGAAGGAAGGACGAAATGCAGCCAAAATCCACGTTGCAGAGCCCAGCTGCCTAATCTGCGAATTGTGAGTGAATTTTTTTGGGTTTGGTGATTGGTTATATATGTGTTGCATGCATGTTGGAGCTGAACTACCAAGAATTCAAAGAAGAACTGGAAGAATGGACTCTATTGCACTACTCGGTGCACACGCCCTCCCATTATTAGAGTATCCCAATAGTGTACCGCGTTAATTCAATTTAGAGTCAACTTTTATTACAAATGCCCATTATTTTCGATCGATACGAGAATTCATTACGTCGCGTCCGCGTTTAATAAATAGCTTCATCCCTTTTTACTTTTCTGTTTTTCTGTTGATACCACCCTTAAAATTTTGCTAAATACCCCATCTAAAATGGACTGCAGGATCAAACGGATGATAAAAATTCGTGGTTTCGGGTCTAAATAAAATTCAACGAATTAAACTACACTTGAAAGAAATCGCGATCCGTACATAATTTCGCGCGACACTTCCACAGCTTCCTAAGTCTGGTGGGTCTGACAATCGTTGACTGTGGCCATTGGTGGAATCAAAATTCAAGGCTGAGGGGATTGGAACGATTCACTGAGGGAATTCTAAAAGTTTCATGGGTCTGAGAGGAGGAGCAGATGTCCTGCTGTGTTGTAAACGAATAGTAAGTTGCATATTTCTTTCTTTTTTATTCATTATATATTATTTCCAGTTTAGAGACGAAAATGTGCGGTCTACTGACTGAATTTTTACCATATTCGACGAGAATATACACCAATAATTTGTATGTTTGTTATAAATAACCTAATTCATTAATTTTCAGAAATTAGAAAGTATTGTACTACTTTCGCTAGAGTAATACTTTTCTTATCGAAATTGCAAAATTGGGAATGATATAATTTTACGAGATGAAAATCGTAGCTAATAAAATTTGAGACCTTAACTCGTTAGTGAACATTCTTTGGTAAGCCATAGGTAATTCGTATCATTTCTAAAAACTTATCCCTTTCGAATGATCGAATTTACAATGTACTTTTGTAATAAAGATTTTATAGTTTCCATAAACTATTAGACGGACATCGTTTGGAATTTTAGATAAATTACAAAATCAGGAACGATATTAATTCTCGATGTTCTTTATCAATGAAAATTAATAAGAAATCATAGAACGTATGAAATTTTTGTGTAATCACTATCCTACCGTGAATCTTAGGTAATTCTCATAATTTCTTAAAAATTCTCATTTTCGAAAATTAAACTAACAAGTAAGCTAAATTGTAAGTTGAGAACTGTATGCGTGTGCGTTTTAATTTTAAGTTGTTCATAAGATAAAGTGAGTTAGCATAAGGCAATAGAAAATAATTCTATCATCGTGGGATGCGTGCGTTTTAACTTTAAATAGCTTTTATAAAATAAAATAAGTTCGTTCTAAGATAGAAAATTGTACACCAATGTGTGCGCTCTCTTACAGAGATACGCGTTTCTCATTCGTAACGAATTAATAGAATGCTTTCTGCACTAATATCGATTCTCGATCATTCAGTTCTTTCGAGCTATTACACGACGTACTCACTCGCGAGTAGCGCGCGATTCTCGCGAGTAAATACATCGTGTAGGCTCGTTCTTATAATTTTGTAATACTCTATTAAGGAAGAGCATGGAATTTTTCGAGTACTTAAATAACGTTGCTATTGAAAATGAAAGACACTGCGAATTATTCTAAAGACACGAATTTTTAATAAAATGTCTAATTTTTTTTTTTTACGAATGAGAAACGCGTATCTCTGAAGGTAGAAAGCTGCCAGTAGGGCCTCTGTTTTTGTCGGGTCCCTTGCGTAGTCACCTCCTCGTGGTGGGACCTGGAAATTGGTATCCTTTTCCAAAGAAAATTTTCATTTTTGAAAACGGATACCAAGCTAAGAACTACGCATACCCGTGGACACTCTGATTCTCATGAATTCAGGGTGGACTGCGGGTACTAGTTATACATACATATACACAGTTGAGAGACTTTTTGAGATGTGTTTTAACTTTAAGTACAAGTAAAATAAAATAAGTTAATTGTAAGATAGAAAATTGAATACTACGTGCGCGCTTTCTTACAGAGATGCGCATTTCTTATTCGTAGCTAATTAATAAAATGCCTTCTGCTTTTTCTACTTAAAGAAATATGGAAAAATATTTCGACTACTAAAATTATTATATGTTTTCCATGATGTATAAATAAATTTTATTAAATAAACTATACGAATTACATTACTTAAATGTGAAAAATACCGTATGATATTCATGTAATTTTAAAGTGCATATGTAATGTAATAGAGGATGAACAATGAGCTTTTATTACACAAAATCTCCTTAATTTTTGACGATGATACACGTATTGCGTACTGGTTAGCGATCTATATCTACTTCTTTTTCTTTGATTTTTTGTCAGTCGGAGCTGGAGCTGTACCATTGAGATCTGCTAATTGTTTCTTCAGATTCAATAACTTTTCCACCTCAGGTCGCCACACTGATTTTTCTTCTTTTGCTTTCAATTCACGTACCAAATTTGCCTGAAGCACAGAATGTTAATTACACAAGAATGCTATAAAAATCAAATAAATCATACTACTTTATTGCACCTGTTTGGCAATAGCTGCTTCCAAGCTTGCTACATCCATTGAAGCATCTCCATTTTGCTCAGGTACGAAAACCAGGTCAGATTTTTTACTTTTCGATTCAGGAGACTTACTTTTTTCACCTATGATATCAGTAAACATTTTCTTTAAATTTGAGAATATCTGACCTTCGTGTTTGGCTACCAGTTCTTTAACTTTATTACCCTGAAGATAGAGAAATACATAGCATATGTAAATAGTCTGTTAATTTTTTGGATTATTATTTAAGAAATTTACCAACCAGTTCTGCAACTTCACTTTCCAAAGACTTTATATCGCTATTTTCACCGTTATTTTCAGTTTCTTGTTTTCCAGCGTATTTCTTTCTTAATGCTTCTACGTCTTTATCTTCTATCTTTTTAAACAAGGGAGATGGTTTACCAATTTTGTGTCCCGTTGGAAGTATATTTGTAATAACGTCGGAAATATAACCGTAATGATTATTATCCAATCCTAGTTGCGATCTTAATTCACGAGCAGTATTCGGCATAAATGGAGCCAAAAGGGCTGATAAAAGACATGCCAAATTACAGCAAATACCGATGATCGTGCCAGCTCTTTTTCTACGAACAATAAAAGAAAGCAGACATTTATATTATGCTCAAACTGAGTACGATAACACCACTTAGTTCTATTAAGCGAGTGCTATTCACAAGTACTGTAACACAGACCTGCAACATAATTTAATACATGAAAGTTGATTAACAGTCAGTCAATTTACAGGACTTATTTTACAGCATAAAATTAAGTCATCTAACAGCAATCCTCATTGAACAAGGGAACCTAGGAAATAAAGATATTCTAATCTCTAATATAATAAATTATTTTAGAATATGAATTTCAATTTAACAAAATCACAAAAATAACGAAATAAGATAAGCAAAACATGCAGCAACTTTTCTAATGCTTAGAAAATTCAATGTTTCAAAAATATAAAGTGTATACATACAAGTATAAAAATGCCAAAAATACACTCACAGGTAACAATATTATTATGTAATAAAAACCAACGCGCCACTTACTTATCGTTATCAGTTCCTTTGATTTTCACCCATGGCTCTTGAAATTGCATATATACATTTGCATGCTTTGAAATTGCTAAAACGTGTTTTAAACCATCGCGTAATTTAGCTTGTTTCATAGAATGTACATAAGATGATAATTCGCGTTGCGCTAATACCAATAGTACCAAGTCATCTTCTTGAAGTTCTATTAGCGGTACTTTAGAGTCAAAGTATTTTTCCGCAAATACCAAGGCCCTGTTTATTAACAAGAATTTTTAAACAATTAAAGCTAAAAGAAAAAGACAGAAGTCATATCTGATCTATTATAAAGGAGCACATACCTATTAACAAAGTTTCCAAAATTATTTAATAATTCACTATTGTTTTTAGTTGCTAAATCCACCCAATTGAAATTAGAATCTTGAGTTTCGGGTCTAACATATGCAAGATAAAATCGCCAAACATCAGCTGGTATACCCGTATCTCTAGCATCAGTTCCAAATACTCCGATACCTCTCGATTTAGAAAATTTTGTATCTTCGTAATTGAGGTATTCTAAAATAAGAATTAATCACTAATACTTGACTCTAAGGATGACACATAATATGATATAACATATCAAATTGATACCTGTTGCCATTAAATGCTTTATTAAAGTATGTCCTTCATTAGCTGCTATTAAACAAGCAGGGAACATTATTGCGTGGAATGGAACATTATCTTTTGCCATAAACTGATATAAATCTACTTGTACATCTTTAGGTTTCCACCACTGTTCGTATTCCTGTGTGTATCTCTTTGTAATACTGATATAGCCAAAAGGTGCATCGAACCAAACATAAAACACTTTATTTTCGTAACCTTCTACTGGAACAGGTATTCCCCACTTCAAGTCCCTTGTTATACACCGTGGTTTAAGTCCATCGCGTAACCACGGTTTTGCAACTACTCTCGCAACACTCGACCATCCTTTCTCTACGGTTGGGGACCATTCCTTTAACTTGTCTTCTAACTGTAGAGAGAATATTTTCTTTCTTCAGATATGATACACTTGCAACAAAATAATGTTACATACAATATATAATAAAAATACTTGCCTTAGGTAAATCTAAAAAGAACTGCACCGATTTTTTAACAATAGGCCTACTACTGCATACTTTACATCGCGGAGATATTAAGTCTGTTGCATTCACTAAATGACCACATCCATCGCATTGATCACCACGTGCATCTTCGTATTTGCACCTTGGACACGTTCCTTCTACAAATCTATCCGCTAAAAACCTATCACAGGACTCGCAAAGGAGTTGGTCTACCGTTTCGTTTAATATATATCCTTGCGATTTTATTCTTAAGAAAAATGATTGCACAATTCTGAAAAATGAAATATATTTACATAATGTCTCTAATGATTTACTTTTGCAAAAGAGCAACATAAAAATTAATTACCAAAGTAATAAAAAAATAATGTAACCAATAATTTATAGATTAAAACAATAAAAGCTCAAAGAATTACATTCTATGATGCAGCTAGTATGAGACCCATCTTACTCTGTTTGTTCTGGCGTAGTAGTACGACCAAAATAATCAAATCCTATTCGAAACCATCGATAAATATCGTTGTGTATATCAAAAAATTTGTTACAAATAGCTTGAGGCGTCGTCTTTTCTTCTAAAGCTTTAGCTTCTGTAGCAGTACCATATTCGTCAGTGCCACTAATATAATATATAATAGTTATTGTAAAATTTAATAAATAACACGGGGTATTATAATTTCTTTGTCTACAATATCTGTAAATAGAAACTGTATATTAAAATACGAATAATTCATGTTACTACAATGCTTGTATTATAAGGCAAACCTCGCAAAAATATCAGCAGAAAGAACACAACCAATAATATTTCCTAAATGAGGAACATTGTTAACATAAGGTAAGGCTGATGTTATTAGGATATTTTTTTCACCTTTCTTCGGTAATCTAAAATTAATTCATAAAATTGTATTACTTATGTATCTATTATTTACTGTTCGATAAAACCATTTATGCACATTTAAACTTACACAGGATAGGAAGAGTTTTTCATCTCAGGGTATGATGTAGATGACCAATTACTTGTAATATTTTGTATTTCTTCTTGACTGATTGTTTCTACTTCTTTTTCTTTAGTTGGACTAACCTGAAATAAAAAATTTATATAATATGTAATATACTATTTCTAACAAACTTACATCACTTGGAGTTGGTTTAGAATTTGGGGCTGATCGAGAAATTACAGCAGTATTAGCAGGAAACCAAGATACAGCTTGAACACTGAGAATTGCTTTTAAACCTCTTTGAAATTTGTATTCTTTGAGAGAATTCTGAATCAATTAAATGTATATATAATCCTAGTTGTAACACAAACAATAGCATAAAATATAATGGACTACTTCTGTACCTGAATAATTGGCAGTAATTCAATATTTGATAACCAGTTTTTAATAGATACATATTCTTTACATAATTCATTTCCAATGTCTGTAACCAATATAGTGGACCATATAGTTACCCAAATGCAAGCATCTGCCAATGATAAATCATTGTTATCCTAAAATAGTTTTAATTGAATCTTAAATCTTTTATTATTATACTTTGATTAGTATTATATTTATTATAAATTACCTCAATTAAGTACTTTTTGTCTTTTAATGCAATATTCAGTTCTTTTAATAAAGACCATAAACATGACTTATTTGCAGTTTTATAAGTTCCTGTACTACCATAAACTGCTATTGATGGCTGTAAATTGATACTTTTTATTAATTTAAATTATTATTGTGAATATAACAAAAATACATAATTTTTTTTTTTACCTGTAACTGAGATGCTTCCCATTCCAACCATTTATTAGTAACAACTTTTGAATCTTCAGGGGAAGATACTAAGAGCTGCATTGCTGCATTAGTACTAAACAGCACTAATCCGGATGATAGTTCAATAAAAGGTAAACGGCCCAAGAAGCTTACTATGCATAGAATAGGAAAACTGATTTTATGTTAGCTACAACAATGATACATGGAAACAATTTAAAAATTATATGAAAATATTTACATTAAACACCTATACTACTATATTTCTAATAAAATAAAAGATTTACAAAGTAAAAATCAATTTCTTGGTAACATTACTTATTGAATTAATAATTATTGAACAGAAAATCATACTTATTGTGATATCAAACATTGCTCGAAATTCAAATTATGTTTTCATCAGAATAATTTTAAGGATAATATAAGGATGTTTAAAATAAACAATATGTATATATGTCTATGTTTGATATCATCAATTATAAATACAACATTTGCGTAGAAAGTCGCAAAAAATTTATATATTCGAGTATTATAGAAGAAATCCAGGTGAAATAAACACTTGATATTTCATCATATGGTCAAAAATTAAATTATTCTGAGCGAAGAGGTTAAAGTTCTTACCTTTTGGTTGTACCGTTTTCACGGTAAAAGATTGTTGAGCCATTTTAGCTGCAATTACTAATTTTAATACATTTGGATTGCCTTCGTTGGTTGAAATATTCATTTTTACTACTAAGTTAATAAATATTCACAATAAATAGATGAAAATATGTTCAGCACACAACCGACACATGTGAGCGACAATTAAATGCACGGGAATGGATACCATGGCCTGTCTCATAACACATTGCCAATCTATTTAGAACCTATTAATCTTTAAAGTTTAATACCTTTTTTTATTCATATTATTTATTTCACAACATCCATTATATAGTTTTTCGTTATGAAGAAACAAATCATATATTGAGTAATTGTTTATTTAATTAATATAATGTAGAATAAAATTTGATAAACAACGAATGACAGTTGGTACGACCGAAAACTTTTCTGACACTTCTGATCATGACAACCATAATATTCAATATCACTTTACAGTCCTTGTAGGGACTGATAATAAATGAAACACGTTAATTTGAACACTTTTGCCTATTTTTAGCTTCTGAACGTTTTTTTTTTTTGCACGATAGTTAATAAATGTATTTATACGTACATACAAATTTATTGGATACTAGTGCCCTCTGCCGTGAATTCGTCTTCATTAAAGAATTTGTCTCATTACGCAGTTCATTTTACCGCGCAAATCACATGATAATTTAAATTTGTTATTGGTATTATTTATTGTAAAATTATTATGTAATTGTAATTATGACTTTAATTTAAGTAACTTTTTTTAATTTAGTGTAATAACCTTCTACTTTTTTCAAAAAATTGTATTAAATAAGTTTGAACTTGAGGGAATACCCTTTCTTACGTATTTATTTTCTACTATCACTATACTAATAATTATTTTCTTACTGTCTGTGATTGTTCAAAATTCGAAAGAAAATGATTACTTTATTAATTTGTGTTTTTATAAGTTGTATACCATTATCATATAGTGCAGAGAATATTGTGTTAATTCTTGCTGATGACTTGGATATATTTCTTGATGGCATGGTAATTATGAAAAGAAAAGTACTATGTAAAATGAACACGTTTAGCAATAATTAATTGTTATCTTTAGACACCAATGAAAAACACTTTGGATTTAATTGGAAGCAAAGGTGCAACATTTTCAAATTGTGTAAGCTGAAAATATAACTTTTGTAATAATTTTTTATAATTAAATTTAATCAAAAATATTTGTTTAACAATTAGTTTGTCGCTTCGCCTATTTGTTGTCCAAATAGAGCATCAATTTTAACTGGAAGATATCAACACAATCATTTAGTAGTAAATAATTCAATTCCTGGTGGGTGTAATAATATTAAATGGCAAAAATTACATGAACCAAATACATTTGCTGCACATTTAAATAAAGAAATGCTGTACACAACTTTTTATGCTGGAAAATATTTAAATCAGGTATATGTGTACAAAATATTAA